TCTCTCTCTCTCTCTCTCTCTCTCTCTCTCTCTCTCTCTCTCTCCCCACTCTGTGTGTGTGTCTCTCTCTGTGTATGTGTGTCTGTTCTGTGTGTGTGGTTCATGTATGTGTCTCTCTCTGTGTATGTGTGTCTGTTCTCTGTGTGTGTGTGTGCATGTGTGTGTGTCTGTGTGTCTGTGTATGTGTGTATCTGTGTAAGTCTGTGTGGAGGCCAGATGTCAGTTTGGAATTTTGTTCCCTAGACAGCTGTCCACATAAGCTCTGTGTATATTTCACCTTTTTTTTTTTTGAGACAAGGTCTCACTAGAGCCTAGGTTTTGTCAATTAGGCTAGGCTGTCTAGCCAGAGAGCCCCAGGAATCCTCCTATCTCTGCTTCCTCAGCTCTAGGATTAGAAGCGCACACCAGATTTTGGCTTGGGTTCTAGGGATTAGACTTGAGCCCTCCAGCTTCTGGAACAAGCACTTGCTTTATAGACTGAGATATCTCCCTCAGCTGCCCAGACCACATTGGACTGAGATATCTCCCCGAGCTGTGCAGACTACGTTGGATTGAGATATCTCCCCAAGCTGTGCAGACCATGTTGTAAGCCCAAGCCACTGGCTCTACACTCTGCAGAACAAAGGAAAGCACCCATGCTTCCATCCTAACCAGGAACTTCGCTGTGCCCGGTTCACACCAGCATAGTGCAAAGTTCACAGGCAGAATACAAGGGAACAGACAGGGTCAAATTGTAAAATAGCATCTCCCACAAATGTCTCTGGTACCCCTTCCTGTCAAATGTGCCCATGAGAAGTGGAATACATCAAACAGCTTGTAGCTGGCACCACTTGGAACACCTGGTAGACTCCAGGACCCCTCAACCCACGTGACTAATGGGCCATGGGCAAGTCTCACCATGGTAAAGGACCTCCTGATACCTCCAAACCTCTCAAGCACCACAGCCTAGCTCCAGCCTAAGGCGCTCACAAAACCCTCATCTCTGAGGACACCCCTTCCTCCTGCCTGCTCTGTGACCTCACTTGGTTACAGTTGCAAGGTTCCAACTGGAATTTTCATAGACAGGGGACGGAAGGAGTTAGTGTTGTGAGCCCAGGCGAGAAGGAGGCTGGGGCAGGGAAGGCTTCCTCCCTAGTGCCCAGTTGACCGTGTTGTGTGACTATCTCTGTGCATTTCTGGTTTTGTTTTGTTTTGTTTTCTTACAAAGCTGGCACGCGCATAGGGCTGGAGACATGGCTTGGTGATTCAAAGCATTGGCTGCACTTGTGGAGGACCTGGGTTCAGTTCTCAGTACCCACACTGTGGCTCATAACCATCAATAACTCCAATTCCAGGGGATCTGATGTTCTCTTCTCACTTCTGTAAGCACAGGGCACATGAGCAGCGCATAGCTCTACACTCATACACATAAATAAACCTAAAAAAAAAAAAAAACCAGTAAGATGGTGCCCATGTATACAGTTAAGGGTAGCGTTACAAGTTGGGCAGAAAATTCAATTTCACAAAATGATAGAAAATTATTTTCCAAACTTGTTATAGTTACATTTTCACCAGTAACATATAAAAATAGCCTCGCTGAGGATCGGATTTGTGCTTACGTGGGAATTCCTATGTGACCACTGTGGGAGCCAGCAGCCAATGGCAGGGCAGGGGAACAGAGGCGGGACTTTGAGGATTCCTGAGAGGAAACAAGGAAACACAGGACAGGGAGAAGGAAAGAAGACACAAATATGAGGCTGTGGAAGACAAAGAACAATCATGTAAGAATCAGGGAAAAGCAGCCCCTGGGGCCACTCCATTGATTGGGTCTGGAGTAGCAGAGATAAAGTATAGATTTTAGAAGATAACTCAAGAATATAGGAGGGGAGACTGTGTTAGCCACAGGGAGGTTTGGAAGTGGCCCAACCATTGAGCTAGTTAAGGCATATCAAAAATAACACTGCGAGTTTATGTCTTTCATTTGGGGACTCCAGACCATGGGGACGCCGCCAACCACATTGCCCCAGCCTGGAAGTTAAAAGGCCCCAGCTGGGAAGTAAAAAAGTGGATTAACAGTTTACCGCTACAATCCTCTCCAATGTAACTTCTAACAGTTACATATTAAAATTGTATTAGTTACTTGTTGCTGGGACGAATACCTTGCTTAAGAAAGCAAGGGTTCGTTTTTGGCTCACAGTTCTGGATACAGTTCGTCACAGCAGGGAAGGAACGCAGCAGAAGCATGAAATTGATGCCCCCTCTGCACCGGCAGTCAGGACACAGAGAGCGATAAATCCCAGGCCAGCTCACTTTCCCCTTTTTATTCAGCCCAAGACCTCAGCCCATGGAAAGGTGCTGCCCTATTCAGGGTGGGTTTTCCCAACTCAGCTAATCTAGAAACTCCTTTAGAGATGTGTCCAGAGGCTTGTTTCTACAGAGACACTAAATCCTATCAAGCTGTCAACAGTCAAAATTAACCATCACAACAATGAATTTAAGTCACTTTGGGTCTGGCTTTGCATTTTCGTAATCACTGATGGAGTGTAATATGCCTTCAAACACTGGCGACGGATGTGTCTCCTGCCTGTTCTTTCTTTCTGATGGAATGAGTGTTCCTTATATTTTGGGTCAGTGCTACATTTCACAAGTACCACAGACACTATCTTCAAGTTTATAGCTTGTCTTTTTTCTCTCTCTCTGTGGCTCATTCTGATAAAAGTACTCAGTTTTAATGACTAATTTAATTTAATCAATATCTTTTGTTCATCGTCTGTGCCTCGTTGAAGAATCCCAGATCTCTTTGTCCCTCTCCTATGATCACACACTAAACCTCCCTTCCTTGTTTCAACTATTGTTCATTTAAAGGTCTTATTAAAGATGAGAGACTGGGGGGGGGGGGCTGGAGAGATGGCTCAGTGGTTAAGAGCACTAACAGCTCTTCCCGAGACCCCAGGTTCAATTCCCAGCACCCACATGGCATTGCAACTTCAGTTTCAAAGGATCTAACACCGTCACACAGACTTATATGCAGGCAAAATACCAAATACATAAACTTTAAAAATTAATGTTTAAAATAAAGATGAGAGGCTGATCTCAGCTCATTCAGGCTGACACAGAGTAACTCCAGGAACACAGAAAATATCACAGCTTTCTGTGGGCCGTTGTATTGTGTCTGGAGACTGAAGGGATCTTGAGGGTGATGTCTTACACACTGGGTGGTATAGATTTCCTCCTCACTCTCTTTTCCTTCCAGGTTGCAGGACCCCGAAGGGTTGCTATGCCCTGGCTGAGCCTTTCTGTATGCTGCTCTCTACTAAGTAACATTCTGCGGTTCCTCTAGGATCAAAACATCCTGACTAAGACATGGGTGCCCCAGGAAGGGAATTTACTCTTGACATCCTATTGCCCCCCAGTTGAGTTCCTGCTTTTTCACATCCTGACTAATACATGGTGCCCCGGGAAGGGAATTTATACTTGACATCCTATTAACCCCCAGTTGAGTTCCTGTTTTTTCCTGAGTTTGTATTTTTCCTTCCCTGGCTTGGTGTATATATTGAACCTGCTCAGTACAGGTAACCGATTATGAGCATGTTGAGTCATTTATTGTCCTCCGGGTTCTGGGCGACTGTCATTTTTTTTCCTTCGGTATTTTTTTCTCTGTTCTTCAGGTTAGAACATTCCTATGATCTGTCTCCAAGTTCACCAACTCTACTGTAACTGATCCACAGGCAAAGGTTGCTGCCTGGACATTAAAAACAGAACAGCACACATGAGTAGCCCAAGCCTCTGGAGAGAGAGAAGAACATATACCATCCCTCACCTAGAAGACTGGAAGTTCCACTTCTCCCATCACTTTAAACCATTTAACCATAAAAAAGGATGCATACCCTAATGTATACTACTAATTGCCTCTTAACCTCTTACACTACCCACACACAAACCTGACATACCTCCATACCTGACAAGACCCAAGAACGGAACTACCCTAATGGTACCAATCCCTCCCCACCCAGGTCTGGAAGTAGTGATCTCTTGTGGTGGTACATTTAATTTACATAGTCCATTGGAAAAAACAAGAGTTTCCCTCAGCCAGGTTTTTCCCAGAAACCAGGAATGGGGGGGGGGGGGGGCACCAAGTTAGACTTAGGCCAGAGCAATGTCAAGGCATACATAAACTGAACACAAATCATGAAAAAAAAAATCCCCCGGGGATATCTGCCAGTTAAAGGAGAATCCTGTAAAAGACACATTTCAAGAGACACACCCAGGTTCCTTCCATTTTCTATTAGGGAAGAACTGCTGTTTGCTCTGATACTAAAAGCCCTAATTTTTCTGGGGCTTGATTTTTTAAGATTTATTTTATTGTATGTGTGTGAGTATGAGTGTGTGTGTGTGTGTGTGTGTGTGTGCATGTGTGTGTGTTTCTGTCTGTCTCTTGTCTCTGTCTGTCTGTCTGTCTGTCTGTCTGTCTGTCTGTGTGAGTGTCCAAACTGGAGAAGCCAGTACTGTGTATCAGACACCCTGGAGCTGTAGTTTAAGAAGGTTGTGTGATCCTCATTGTGAATGCTAGGAATGGAACTCTGGTCCTCTGAAAAAGCAGCAAGCACTGTGAACTGCTAAGCCATCTCTCTAACCCCTGTGGACTCTTAATGGGCCCATCCTTGGCATCTGCAACTTATTGCTTGGGTCCATTTCTTAAACTTTTTATTTCAGTAATTGTAGTTTCCAATTCTAAAATTTCCACTTTTTTCTGTTCTATTTTCATTTCTTTTACTAATCGAGATGTAATGGCTTGAATATGTTTGGCCCAGGGAGTGGCACTATTATGGGGTGTGGCCTTGTTGGAGGAAGTGTGTCACTGTGGGCTTTAAGACCCTCGTCCTAGCTCCTGGGAAGCCAGTCTTCTCCTGTTTGCCCTCAGAACAAGCTGTAGAACTCTCAGCTCCTCCTACACCATACCATCCTGGATGCTGCCATGTTCTTGCCTTGATGATAATGGACTAAACTCTGAACCTGTAAGCCAGCCCCAATTAAATGTTCTCCTTCTAAGAGTTGCCTTGGTCATGGTGTCTGTTCACAGCAGTAAAACCCTAACTAAGAAAGAGATTAAACAAGCCCTTTGGACATATTTGTGTCGGTTTCCTTAAAGTCTTCATTTGCTAAATTCATCATCTTGGCCATCTTGGAGTTCACCTCTCAGTGCCTCAGTAAAGGAAGATACAAAGATCCTGAGGGTCTACTGCAGCTTGCTGGATAAATCCACTCACCTTGAGTCTGACCTGTAGTCCTTGAGCAATTACTGCAAACTTACAGAAGGAAGAGATGAGAAGAGGGGGGATTATCCATCTCCAGCAGCACTTCAATGTACTCTGACAACAGCTGTTACTCATCTTAAAGATTTCAATGTGTTATTTTAGCATAATAAGTCTCCCAGGCTGGGGATAGAGTGCTTGTCTACCATGTTCAAAGGTCCTGATTCAGCTCCTATCAGAAAAAAAAAAAAAAAAGCAAGCTTCTCTGAGCTTAGATCTGGGGGAAAGAGTATATAACACAAACCATGGAGTAGGAACGGCGTCTTTTGTCTCTGCATTCCCAGTACTAGGTACAAACAGGCTATAGTCAGCACTCAGAAGAGGTGTACAGGAGGCATGAATGGATGGATAGCTGGTGTCCTGATCACTTCAGTTGCTGGGACAAATATCTCAACCAAGGGGAGAAAATGATCTACTTGGCTTACAGCATCAAATTGTAATCCATCAAAGAGAAGATAAAGGCCCCCTTGCTTGCTTGCTTGCTTGCTTGCTTGCTTGCTTGCCTGCTTGCTTGCTTGCTTGCTTGCTTGCTTGGCTGATTGACTATTGATTGACTGACTGACTGACTTCTGCATCTTTACAGAGGTTGTATATAAAAAATCACTGATCTGCTGGGTATGGTGGCGCATGGTTTTAGTTCCAGCATTCAGGAGGCAGAAACAGGCAGATCTCCGAGGTAAAAGCCTGCCCCATGTACATATCAAGTTCCAGGACAGCTA